TCTTCTGGGGGCGCAAGGAGCTGCCTCGATGGAATAGTTCCGAGTGCTGGCGCACAGCGTCGAGGACGTGTGTGTGTCAGTGCATGGTGGAGCAGAGAGAAAAACAGGCAAAAATAAAGAATAAAGCTGCACAGTGTCAAGGTTTGGAGAGACACAGCTATTCCCTCCTTACCTCCTTACTCTCCCTCAAGCTGGTTAACGCCCGTAACTGCAATTTGGATCTAAGTTGCTCTTTCTTTTCCCTGTCAGCTTTTATGATGATGAAAAAAAGGTGCCCAATTCTCTTCATGATCAAGAAGGAGGAAGAAATAAAAAGGACTGTTTAACTTGCTCCTAGCTTTTCCCATTCTGCCTCACAGAGGAGTTGTGAGGGAAGAAAGCCTGACTAGAGCAAGTAATACAGGGACCCGTTGGGAAATAGCACACCGCCTTGAAAGCATAAGGTAAAACACTCAAGTGGATGGTTCAGTGCTACATGCTCTAGCAGGTAGTTTATATTAGACAGAACAGAAAGATGGCCAGGTCTTCCTCCCCTGGAGTCTGCACCCCTGAACTGAAGTCAGGAAGCCTTCCAGAAGCCTTACAAACTCTCCAGAAGCTCCTGTGAATTGAGGAATCGTGCCCAGCTCCCACTGCAAAGACCCACAGAATAAAAAAAGAAACTAGGTAAGCCAACAGCTCCTGTTCATATTGAAGTAGTCTGAGTTAATGAATATTATGTACGATGAGTAAATGCATATTGATCATGTAATTTATTCCCATCCTGTGACTTGGCATACCTTCTTGGTTTGCTGTTATCTAGCTTTTCTCTTCCTTTCTTTTTGTTTAATAAATTGCTTTTTGTTTAATAAATTGCTGACCTTCTTTGTTACTAATGAAGCAATGAAGCACCATATTTCTGGAGTCAAATGCTTTAATTGATCATGTTTTTAAATGCTTTTTTTTGTTTGTGTCTTACATGTCATTCTAGCTACTTTTCATACCCCTTTGCTTTTTTTTAAAAAAAAAAAATTATGAGCAATCACTCAAAAGCAAAATAAATTTATTTCTTTTGAGCTGTAACGCTAAAGATTTATCTCTCTTCGTAGCTGCTCTCCTTATCATTTTCTCTTAGTTTATACACCGTGATTCACAGCTATTTGTTGCTGAATGTTACAAAGCTAGAAGATTTATATCAAAGATATCTGGTAAAAAAATCAGCATTCTATAGGAAAATATAACCTTTCATCATTTGGGGCTCTTTTTAAACATGTTCTTTAACATCCACAAAATCTTATCTACACTCGGATGACTAACAAAATAACCAGTAAAAGTGTGGTATCAACAAAGTTAATGCTAATTTCACAACTTTTTATTATTTATTTATGCTGTACTATACTGTTTTGAGTATAAAAACTCTGTTTAAAGTGCACACACTTTTTCTTTTTTTTTCTGCATTAGCCCACTAGCAAGTCATCTGAGTTTAACCCACTACAGAATGAGCAACATAACCTAGTAAAGAAGAGGGTAGTCTTCTGGTAGGTTAGCAAGATTAACTAAGCATGAGTCTCTGGAGAGTTTTGAAGAACTCAAGTCAGCCAACAGCCTGACTAAGCACAAGGACCTATATGGAATTTACCTGTCTGAACATGTTGCCTTTTTAAAGCATCTTACGAATCAAACTGTGTAGCCTAACCTTTAAAAGACAGAAGCAAATGATGAACATCAGCAAAATGACACTTCTCAGTACAGACGCACACCTACATGCACAAACACACAGACTATGTAAAAGCTGTTAAGCCTACGAAGAAAAGTGCAGGCAAGACTGCTTTCTTTCTCTTTGTTCTTATAGCTACAGAAAGATCCTTGTGTGTTCAAAAACTACATATCTTCGAATTTTTAAAAGTTCTTTCGATTAGCATCCAGCTATTGCATATTCTTATTTTTCAAGCAGTGTAACCCTCACCTCTTCATCAATTTGTAGATGAGGAACTCTGATACAAAACACTATATTAAAATAACACAGTTCTGTATGTTTTGAACTGAAATACTGAGGTCATCAAGGCACCAGGGATTCCAGAGAAAACATCTAACAAAACCTTTGCCATGTGTTTAAACTTTAGGCCCATGAATTCTACAGCCTGAAATGAAACCAACTGCTAAGTAACTAAAGCCAAACTGGGAGTTGCTCGCAGTTAAAACAGTTTTAGGCATTTGGTTAACTATTTCAGAAATACTCTAAAAAGTATAATTTCATACTGAAAACAAGATCTTGAGATGTGATCATGACAGCATACATAACTGAACTTATTTTCCTAGATTCCACTGCTGCAAATGCATCTTTAGTGTTACACTTTATGGTAATTGCTCATAGAAAAGAAACAGAAGCAGGGGGAAAAAAAAAAGTCCTAGCTGAACAGCATTCTGTGCATGCTGGCTGGGAGGAAAAAGTTTCAAAAATTGTACCCTATATATTACATCTCCAGTTAAAAAAGCCTTAGGAGCACCTAGTCTGTAGATTACAAAACTTCCAACTAAATAAACAAATGAGAAAATACGTTAAGTACAAAAATTAAGGTTGTATTTTACTGACCTTTGACAAATAAACGTATTTATTACAAAATCATGAGAAAAATATAAAAGTAACCAAGTTCATGCATAGGTATGAAACAAACTACCAACTACCATTTTTTTCCCCTACACATTTTCTTTTGTGCTTTCAAAACTGCTTTATAGAAATATGATAATTATTTACAACTAAACTCATCAAGTAAGATGTCAAATACCCTATAGCCCTTGAGTATTCAGAAGACCATCCTGGAAAAGAAAATCGTAGGCTGTTAGCTTTAGATGGCTAAGTGCCCTTAATCTGCTAAAAGATTTCTTTCTGGTTTGATTAACACAGGGCTACTGAAAACAGTCAGGATTCTTCATGTTCTTAGAGCCACAAAATTTTAATGAAATAGATTTTTTTTTCTTTTTTCATAACTGATTGTCAAATATTCAGAGAGCACTTTGAGCATATCAGCTTACGATTTTATATGGAATATTGTATCCTGAACACTAGTGAATGTACAGATTATGTTGATGTTTTCATATAACAAAAATATAATCAGGATAAATAATTTGACAGTGATTTAAAATAAGGCATTTTTTCTCTGACATATTTTTAAATGTTAAGTTGATTAGATAATAAATCATTAGTTAAGTTTCACACCTGTGTCACACCACAAGGTAGATTCACTTCTTGAAAAGTGTTTCAGATATCCCATGGGTGGGTACCACAATTCAGTTAATTTCTCTTGATGTGTAGATACTATGGGGAGATTCCAGTGCCATGCAGGACTGCTGAATAGTCCAAAAGCTCATCTACGTAGCTAAGCCAAAGGACAGCTTAAAGGCCTGTTCAACGGCCACTTCTGTGACTGAGTCATGAAAACAGACATAAAATTCCTGAGGTTTTGGATGCAGGAAGAGTCTCCTGAAAAACAAAAGAGAAATAGTTTCACTAGTTAATAATAATAATATAATGAATCAATCAAGCAGAGTCATTTATTTCCCTTTCATCCCTTAAACAAACTGAATTTGTTTTTTACAGTGAAAATAGCTTCTGCCTAATCAAACATGTGCATTGCTTTTTTTTTTTTACATCAAGTATGAATACAAAAGACAGATGATGAATGCACACAAAAAGCAAAAATCCTGTTGACCCACTAGTTAAAGTATGAATATCTATTTAATAGAGTTAAAATGTCAAGAGTACAAAATGTAGGTAGAAAGGAGAGACAACGCCAAAGGCAAATGGTGGCTATGGAATATAGCTTACTGGCCCTGACTTAAACAATTGCAAGATTTTTATATTCTGAAGGATCAAGTGATGAGGCAGGTTTTCCCTGCATCATCATTTTCCCCAATTCTCATTACAGTGTATTACCTTTAAATTTATTATTTTTAATATTTAACACATCAGGCAGTATACTGTTCTGTCCTACAAATTAGCCTTATTTAGCTATGTAGTAAGGCCTAAATATATACTATTAAGAGAAATCACTTAAGTTTAAATAATAGCACAAGGGAACAAGCACTATCAAATTGCAGTGATAGCAGCAGAACTTAATTTAATACATATTTATTTGAAAACAAATTGAGGAAAGAAAGTTTCCTTTTCAGAGAAAGATAAATCTCTCTCTAAACTTACCCTACAACCCAGTAACTCATTATTGGTGGTGGTTTCTTCTGATCATTCCAGTTATCAGGAGAGCACTCAAACAAAACCCCGTGTTCTTTTATTATATCTAGATTTGCATCTGTGCTACTAGATTCTGAATTCCTACTGCGTGCTCTTTTCTTTTTCTGTAAAACAATAAGTGAAGTGTCAGTACAGAATTAACATTTTTTAATCAAAATACCAGCAAATTTAACTGCAGTATATTTTCTTCAGAAATCGGTGTTAAATGGTTAAATAATCTTCCTGTCAAAAATCCTGATTTAGAAGACATAATTAATTTGCTTAGATATGATTCTTCACAGTTTTGTAAGTTCAGTACTAACAGGCTTTTTTGCTACTATAAAACTTAGAGGTAGAAACATGCTTTCTGTTTAGATTTTTTCTCCTTCATAATGAATATTATTCTCTTTAATAACACAGCAGTATTAAGAAACAAAGTGTGTTAAAACAGCTAGATCCCTACCCCCTATCTTTCTCTGTGTATCTCCCTAACTAAAAGTTGTGGTAATAATTGTCTGAATCTGGCCAGCTAGGAATTTTTTTAAGTCGTTGTATTTCTAGCCCTTATTCTATATTAATACATAGCGTGTATTTATATATATATATATATAGTCTCGTTAAGCTTTTGGGACTATGTTTTGTACACAGCCTCTAAATAAAACTTGTTCCAAGTGGACTGAACTCCTGCTCTCCACTTGGTGAGGATTATATTACATGCACAAAAGCTTACTTTTTTCTCTTGGCTCTGTCTGGGTGCTACACAGCCTATGAGTCCAAAACAGCCACTATGTCTTTTATAAGAACTGAGGGGACAAAGAGAGCAGAATGGACACAGGGGTAGGCACTGAGGGAATGTCAAAAGTGTTCTCCATTTGTCTGCATCTTCTGCTGAACTCAATGTTATTACTCTTTAGTAAATAAGCATCTCCATAACAATGGAGAATAAATATAAGAGAAGTGTAATGACACTGAGCAGAGATTACTTTGAAACAAATCTGCCTCAATCTCTAGCAATGTAGAAGAGAAGTTTCTTAAACCAGGAGACTTCTGGTTCCACTGCAATCCTGGCAATGAAATTTTTG